TGAGTGACTTCAGCACATCTGTGTCCACAAGGACATCACTAGATTCTCACACTGCGCTGGTGTGATTTTGGTCCACTCTTCTTCCAGTCTCTGCCATGGTTCACTTACTGTAGTGGGTTTCCTAGCCATAACTTTGTTGCCAAGGATTTCCCAGAAATTTTTAATCGGGTTTAGATCAGGACTCTTGAGCGGGCCATTTTATTATTTCAGTGTTCTTGGCTTCAAGGAACTGCTTTACCCATTTTGCAGTGTGACGGGGACATTATCTTGCATGAAAATTGCAGGCTGATTGGGAGATGCTTGCAGGGAAGGTACTGCATGTTGCTGAAGGAGGTTGTGAAAAACATTTGCATTCACCCTGCCATGTAGCTGTATAAGAGGCCCAACTCCTACTGCAGAAAACATCCCCCAAACCATGACACTTCCTCCTCTACCTTTCACTGACTTCTTTACGCACTTGGGATTCAGTGTTTCCCAAGTTTGGCACGGAACATAATGTTTCCCATCAGACCCAAATAAATTAAACAAGAAATTACAGATTTGGAATGACAAACTTCTCATGCAGTGGCTGAAAAGGTCATCCCATTGGCCTTCATCTGTACAACGTCCTGTTGCAGGGTTTCAGTCACCTTAGAGCAGCCCACCATCTTGCAATCTCAGTGAATATTGCAGGAATGCTGTCAGTTAAATAGGAAATTGGCAACATATAACAGATTAACACCAATAACTTGAAGGTATCTGTAAGTGTTCCCTAAATTAAATTGTTTTTTTTTAAATCTCATTTTTATCATCGGCAATCTTATTTTCACAATACGTTTTTTTATACTTGTGCTTCAGAATAAAATTAATTTATGAAATATGCTTAAAAAACTGCCCTTCTACTTTAAATGGAACCAAGCAGTGACCTTGAAATTTAGGAAACGGTAAGTCTAATTTTGATCTCCACGGTGTATATAGGTGTATATATATATATATATATATAAAACCAAAGTTCTGTTTTAAATGCACCACCACTCTCTGTCTGCCTAGGCCCGGCTGAACTGCAAGCATTGTGGGAAACCTGTCATAGATGTACGTGTGGGCATGCAGTATTTCTCTGAGTACAGCAATGTACAGCAGTGTCCTCACTGTGGCAATCTGGACTATCACTTTGTAAAGCCATTCTCCTCGTTCAAAGTTCTCGAAGCTTATTGACAAAAGTTGCATTTGCATGCTAGTATTTTTCCCTGTTTTTTCTATTGATAGAATTACTTATTTTGGGCTCTTGTCGACACTTTGTGTGGAATTAGTTCTCTTTAGGAACAAAATAGAAAGAATCAAAGCATACGATGCTGATTGTCAAAGAGCGTGTCTTTTATTAAGAGAAAAAGGGTGTGCTTTTGTGTATATACTAACGCCATCCTTGAAATGTTTGAGCTTGCATTTAAAAAACAAAGCAACAATACTGTGACAAGTGAATGTATCTCTGTATGCCAAATTTGCTCTTTTGTACAAAAAAAAAACAAAACAATAAAATACATAAAAGGATCCTTCTTTTTCACAGAGTAATTATTAATTATTCTATGGCTTGGTCAGTTATCTTTTTGATCTCAATCTCACCCACCCAGGGCATGTCTGCATAATTACTGTTTTCCATATCAAATAGCTATGCTCAATGAACATCATTATTGCAGATGAAGCAGCTTCTTTGATAAAATGTGGAGGCACTCTCATGTGGACAACCTTTGGTTTGTGAATCTTGGAAGACAAAGATGCTTATTGAGTGAGAGAAATAAATACATTTTTAGGTAAAATTGAAATGTACTAGAACAATATGTGGACACTTGTGGAACAACAAACTTTTGTGGAAACAGTAACTACCGCATGTTTGTTATTGTCTAATAATAAAGCATTCCTAAAAAATTAATACAACAAGCATCTATAAAATGTCAGTTAACATTTACCAGACCATTAGATCTGCTGGACTTTTGTTGGCCATGATTTTTTCTGCTAAAAATTAAAATTTTAAAGCCTTATAAATATATGTCTAAGATTATATCTCTACAAAAGCCAAACACAGTAGCTACACATTACTACTACATACAGTAACTCAAGATCAGATGATCTAAAGCAGGGCTGTCCAAACTCGGTTTTTTTTTTCCAAAAGGAGTGATACACCGTAATCTCAAGCTCACACATCGTTAAAACAACAATTGTTATCGTAGATGATAAATATCGCCTACGATAACAATTGTTGTTTTAACGATGTGTGAGCTGAGATTATGGTGTATCACTCATTTTATATTTTTTAATAATTATATATGATCAGTAATATCACACAAGCAAAAGTGCCGTTTTCCCGAATATTATTCACAAAAGTGATATTAATTTAATAGATATTTTGCGTCAGAGAAGCAAGTGCGGAGCCATCTTTAGAATTTTGACTTTGAACTTCCGTTTTTTGCGGTATATAGCATCGGTGTTGAAGAGTAATTAGCTGGTGAAGTGGATTTGCTTATTGTCGAGTTAATGAAAGTTATGTGATGTGCATTGTTGCTAACGGTCGAGGCAGATATCTTAACAAATATCAATAGACTGGGAAGATTTTAAAATGAGAGGTTCATTCATAGGATAAATGTGACCCTGGACCACAAAAACAGTCATAAGTAGCACGGGTAAATTTGTAGCAATAGACAAAAATACACTGTATGGGTCAAAATTATCGATTTTTCTTTTGTGCCAAAAATCATTAGGATATTAAGTAAAGATCATGTTCCATGAAGATATTTTGTAAATTTCCTACCGTAAATATATCAAAAATGTATTATCATTAGTAATATGCATTGCTAAGGACTTCATTTGGACAACTTTAAAGGCGATTTTCTCAATATTAAAATTTTTTTGCACCCTCCAGATTTATAAATAGTATCTCTGCCAAATATCTTAACAAACCATACATCAATGGAAAGCTTATTTACAAAAGCTTTCAGATAATGGGTAAATCTCAATGTAAAAACTCTTTTGCGGTCCAGGGTCACAAATTTGTGCGACCTTACCTTCACGCTGTGGAAATACAAACCGGAAGACAGCTAGTAGACAAGCGCAGCGGCAGTGCTAATTATTTGGTTCCACAGTGTTTGCTGATTTTCGTTCTTTTTTATGTTTAAACTTTGTGTAAGTTATTTATTTTTTATTAGGCCTATAGCATGGTGTATATAGGCCTAATAAAAGTCGTCAAATAAAGCGCGCACATCCATAATAAAACGTGCCTCACACGGCTCCGGGGGGTGAATAAATGCCTCCTGTAGTGAATCCATGCATTTTTGCAAGAAAAATATCCACATTTCAAACATATTAAAAACTTTTCTCTCACTTCCGTTATCTGTCATACGCGGAAGCCGTTCCGGCGGATGACGTAAGACGTCGGCGTTGCGTGATTAGTGACGAACACAGAGAGAGAACAAAACAAAATGACGGTCATGAATTAGAAGTACAAACCGAGGATTTGCAAAGAAAAATGTCAGAGGATTTCGATATAAACCAAGAGGAGACTGGTTTTCCATTGCTAAAGTAAGGAAACTTTACTTCTCTCCTCTGCTCCTACAAACAAATTTGTGTGACTAGCATATCTCAGAGGTGCGCGCGCTGCTCATACGTGCTTCGTCATCCGCTGGAATGGCTTTCGCGTATGACAGATATCGGAAGTGAGAGAAAAGTGTTTATTACCTTTGAAATATGGATATTTTTCTTACAAAAACACATGGATTCACTACAGGAGGCCTTTATTCACCCCCGGAGCGGTGTGAGGCACGTTTATTATTAATGCACGCGCTTTATTAGATGACTTGTGGACTGTTCAACTGCAACACCTGCTGACTTAAATGATAGAGCTTGGAATAGCCAGGACAATTTTTTATATAACTCCGACTGGATTCGTCTGAAAGAAGAAAGTCATATACACCTAGGATGCCTCGAGGGTGAGTAGAACGGTCTAATTTTCATTTTTGGGTGAACTAACCCTTTAACAAACACCTTAAAGGATGCCATCGGATGCCCATTTTCCACAAGTTGATATGATTCTTTAGGTCTTAATGAAAAGTCTGTAACATAGTTTGGTTAAAATTTCTCAATGGTAGTGTAAAAAACACCTTTTTTACCCTGTCAAAATAATCTCTTTTCAGAGCAAGCCATTTTGTAGCATTTTCCTTTAAATGTTAATGAGCTCTGCTGACCCCGCCCTTCTCTTCCGAGCTGCTCTCTGAGGGACTGTTTACTTTAGCTGCATTCATCGTGAGACTTGCTAATTAGCACATTATTAGGAAAGGCGATTTGCATCACTTTCAAACAGTGAAAGCAAACAATTCATTAAAAAAAACTTTAACCTTTAAAAATACTCACTTCTGTAGGTGAAGCTGGATCACGAATGATTCACGCGAACATAGGTAGATCGGGGGCACATTCCCTTCAAAAACAAATGTAATCCACTGCATCTTCAGCGGCTCAGATGTCGGGAGTAAATGACGACTGCTATGTTCATTATTACATCCAACAACAGAACACCTCAATTGCTTAGGAGTCATTCTTGTCTACATCTGCTCTGGTGGTGAAACACTGGCGGACTGATGACAGCTCATTCAGGGCGGGTCTAAGGTAAGATGCTGTGCTGAAACGCTACTGTCAATCAAACTATCGTGGGCGGGGCCTGTTTTTGTGATGTCACACATACAGGCTTCTGAGATCGGCTTGATTTGAGAAAGGGGTAAAGATTTTAGTAGATTAAAAAAAAAACACTGGGTGGATTTTTATCATTATAGGGTGGTTGTGTACACACACTGCCAACACACATTTCAGTTCAAACAACTTGTAAAAGTGAATGTAGCATCCAATGACCCCTTTAAGAAGCACCGTCCAGAACATTGGAAAACCTATTGTTTAGCTGCCTTTTTCACATAGTGCTTTACATTAATAATTGTATTCGTTGTATGACCAAATGTCTTTGTGAAAGAGAACATTTTGTAAGATTGTCAAGAACAGATGTTTATTTGAAGGTACTAAGAAGTATTACAAGAGGGAAAAAGTATCACACTCATAAAGGTAAAATTTATCCTTATAAACTTTCATAAAGGAACGTGTCCTACGACCAGTCTGTCATCATCTGTATTAACTTAAGGTCAATTCACACTGCACAGACAGACCCAGACCAATGCCTACCCAGTACAGTAGGTCTACGTCACTTCTCAGACGTTCCAAGACTCGATAAATGCTAATTCAACATTCTGTTGGCAAAAACAAGCACAGACCAACACCAACAGATGCTGACAGGCGTAACACACCGATCAGACAAAACCTTACGAATGTGTCCGTTGCCTTTTATTGGCATCTGTCAGTGCAGTGTGAATTGGTCTTTAAACTTGTCAACAGCCAGACTTGTCTAACTACACAAACAATCTAATCTAGAAATGATAAAAAAAAACTTCTTTGGTAATACATTTTGGCTTAGCTTTTATTCTGACCCTTTGCAGAAACTTTCTTCTTGGCTGAACCTTGTTTTTTAGGCTGGGCTTTGCCGGCCTTCGCTTTTGCCTCTTGGGATTTTGAGGCTTTAGGTTTTGTCGCCTGTGCTTTGGGTTCCGCAGAGGCAGCTGCGGCTTTCTCAACGTGCTCCTCTTTGAGGGGCTCTTGTTTGGGTGGCTCTGGTTCAGGTAGCTCAGTTTTAACAGCTTCATTTTTGCACTCTTCTTTCATGACGGGCTTTGGCAGCTCCTGTTTGAGGGGCTCTTGTTTGGGAGGCTCTGGTTTAGGTAGCTCAGGTTTGACAGCTTCATGTTTGCACTCTTTTATGACAGGCTTTGGCTGCTCCTCTTTGAGGGGCTGTTGTTTGGGAGGCTCTGGTTCAGGAAGCTCAGGTTTAACAGCTTCAAGTTTGCACTCTTCTTTTATGACAGGTTTTGGCTGCTCCTGTTTGAGGGGCTCTTGTTTGGGAGGCTCTGGTTCAGGTAGCTCAGGTTTAACAGCTTCATCTTTGGACTCTTCTTTCATGACAGGCTTTGGCTGAGTGGATTCCTGTTCGACTGTCTCTTCTGCTTTTGTCGCCTCTTCCTGGCTTGGTTCCTCTTTGACTGACTCTTGTTTTCCTGTCTGTTGTTCAGTGATCTCTGGTTGTAGAGGCTCTTGAGAAAGTTTGGATTCCGTCTCAGGTTTGGTGGGTTCAGGATTTGTGGGTACTAATGGCTTCTCTTCATTTACACTAACAACCTCTGATCTGTTTTCTTCTGTGGTAGAGGGTTCATCTTGTATTGATTCTGGTTTATCCGCTAGTTCAGAGGATTCAAGTTTGGTAGCCTCAGGATTTGCTGGAATCTTTTGTGCCGTCTCCTCTTCCTCACTGTCAGATTCTCCAGCATAATCTGTTATGGAACTTACCAAGGAAGCTGCAAACTCCTGCAGACGAATCTGCTCCTCTCGCAGCCTCTTCATCTCTGCGGTCAACATGGGGTTGGGAGCTGACTTAGGAAGTTGGACAAGCTCTGGAAGCTCATCTACTTGGGGCAAATCCACTGCAGGTGCTAGAGTTGCCTTTTCTGAGGACCGTATTTCTTTAATTTTGATATATAAACTTTTTCTTTCATCCTGCAGTGCTCGGCACAGAGTCTCTAGACGGTCAATTTTCAAAGTGAAGAGTTCAAACTCTTTGGCCTTTTCTGATCTCTGTTGGAGTGGAGTTAATCAGTTAGTAAGTGAAACGCTAATGATAATCAAATATTGACAAGTCATGTGTGTACATTACCTCGTCAATCATTTCAACAAGAGCTTTATTGCAGCTTTCAAACCGTGTCTTCCATATGTTTGACTCCTTTTCCAGCTTTTTCATCTTCTTTGTCATCTGTTCAAATAAAAACGTGATCAGCATAATACTTATATTCTTTAAAATAGACAAAGGCATTTTAAATTGTTCACTGCAAAAAAAAAAAAATCCTATTCTTAACAAAAGTGTTTTTGTCTATTTTTACAGTTAAAATGTCCAAAAATCCTTGAAGAAAGACACATTTACTGGAAACAATAATGTATAAGAGATTAAGACTTGTTTTCAGAGATTGAAGCATTAATACGAGTGTATTTTAACTTATTGCATCGGCAGATTTGTCTCTTGTTTAAGTATAAACAAGTTAAAATAAAGTGGAAAAATCTGACAGTGCAAAATACACTTTTAAATAAACTTTTTCTGGAAGAAAAAGTCTTAATATCTTATGCAGTGTTGCTTCTCAAGTAAATTTATCGTTTAGATATTTTCACTGGAATACAAGTAAAAAACTAATAAGTTGTTTTTCACACTTTTTTCCTATTAACTTTTGGCTCTAGACAGTAAAAGTGTGCATAACGAAACAAACCTTGTCCATCTCCTGTTTGAAAGTGATGTAAATTTCATTGCTTTTTGCTAGTGTGTTCTGGAACTCATCAAACTTCTGGGAGTACAACACAATCTGTAAGAAGAGAATTAGTGTTAGCAGCATTCAGAAAATCATTGTAAATTAATACCTTGGAGTACAGTAAGAGAAACATGCATGATGACAATGACATTTGTACTTATCAGCTTGGCCTTCCTTTTAAATTGTATATATTTATATATTGATATTATTTTGGAAAAAGAAAAAAAAAGTTCAAAATATGTTCTTTCCTATGCATGTATGTATGTATTTATTTATTTATGAAGTGTGAATTAACACATTAATGAATGGATAAATAAATATTTATTTGTTTTTATTCATTCATACATCCATTAATTTACTTATTCATTCTTCTGTTGACATTATGGACCTGATGGAAAGATGAAAGAGTTAATCGCTGATATTGCAGCTGCACTTTACACAATCCATCTGTAATTAGTCAAGGCAAATGTTCCAGTCAAAAACACAAAGCTTTAAATAAGTGAACACTTTCTGCAATGACTCAGTGTGTAATGTGTAAGGCATCACTTATTATTTATGACAGCAGCAGTGAAACTCATCCAGGTTGTATTTACTGTTCAGCACTTGTGACGCTTGTGAACTATAATAATTCACTGAAATGATATATTTCTGTCTGTGTTGTCACAATAGAGCCATGAGAGAGGGGAAGCCGCCATTCAGCCATCAACATAATTAACCCAAATTCAAGAGCTTCATCATCTTTGTTGATTCAGAGACAGTGAGATGTTGTCACATTAATTTCCTTAAAGAGTTAAACAGTATCTACATGATTTCTCTGCTCTAAGACAGAATCATGTTTCTCAATATGCACCAGTTATGATGTTTTTGTGTCCTTTTTGTTGTAAAGGAAAAAAGCAAATCAATATATTCTTCAGAATTTCTTCTTTTGTGTTCCACTGAAGAAAAAAGTCATACAGGTTTGGAACGACATGAGGGTGAGTAAATGAAGACAGAATTTTCATTTTTGGGTAAACTATTTCTTGAGGCACTTAAAAGTCCTTTATTATGGTCTACACAGAACTGTAAAGCTCTCATTATTGCTTTTCATAAACATCCGTCTGTAATTTATCTATCCATCTCAACTTAAATATATCCAGACAGTGCAATTGCTCCTAATGGCTATGAATCATCACCATAAATTGCCTTTTAAAGATTGATTGGTGTATGTGGTTTGTCACACAGCTCAGCGAGAGAAACACCACAGCTAGAGAGGAGAGAGTGTTGGATTGTGGCTAATGCCACAGCGATAGATATTCACCTGGGCCTGCATGACAGTGTGCTGCTCTTTCAGCTCTTTAGCCTGTAGTTTCCACTCTGCAGCCTGAGTGAGTAACTGGTTAAACACAAGACACACACACAAACAGGTGAGAGAGACCGAGAACTCGGCATTACCTGTTTCTTCATCTGTAACTCCTGCTCCCTCATTGTGTAGCATTTCTTTGTTTTTTCAATAGCCTCTTTAAGCAACTAACAACATAAACGGTGAGATGTTAACATGTGCCAATTCTTAATATTCACTGAAACATTTTTATAAACAGGGTCCAAAATGAACTTTTTGCCAATTGTGAGAACATTTAAGTTATTAATATAGGCTATGTAATATTTATCCTTTTTTTTTTTTTTTTTACTTATTTTATAGATATTTTGTCACTTGAGATGAGCAAGTTACTTTGTATCACAAAAATATTGTAATTTTGTTTCAATACCTTTATGTGAGGTATATTTCACATGTGTTGCCACATGCAATTATAGGGACAAAACAAAGATCCAAGATAAACGTTTGATGGAACATTTCACTGAGAAGACTTGCAATTCACACCAGATGTTTTCTTCAGCTGACAGCTTCATTTGAATGACACATTCATCACTTCACTTAACAGGAAAGGTCTGAAAGCTTAATATATTATGTTGCAGTTTCTTTTACAAGCCAGTTATTAATTGCATTTTGGCACTTGATGATTGTTGATTTTAGACCCTGCTTGTAATTCAATTCATTGTAAGCATGCAACATGCAAATGAATTTGCCTGCCCTTCATTTTACTGGAGGCAAATCTGAAGAGCCAGAATAGGAGATCTGTGTGTCTTACATATTCCTTCTCCCTTTTGTGCTTCTCTTCAGCTTGACTGAGGAGCATGTTGGCTTCTTCCAGCTTGGCATCAGACAGTTTCTGCTGTAGATCTCGGTGTTTGAAGATCTTCTCTAAACTCTGCATAAAAATACAGAAAATTCATTTAGACGCAATGGGGTCATAGCAGATTTTATTTCTTTAATTCCATTCCATTGTCCAAACCACTTGTCCTAGTTCGGGTCGTGGGGATGCTGGATTTTATTTTATTTTATTTTTGTAGTTTCCTTTTCCAGCTTTTGTAATTTCTGGGAACAACATTTAACGCAGTACATTTTAACATTGAAAATTTGTGCTTGTCTCTGATACACCACACGCAGAACATGTTCCAGGATCAACATCCTTTGTTGTTCTTGGAACAGCTTTCGCATCAATCCTTTTACGCCTAAAATCAGAGGGTGGTGATTGGTCAATAGGGATGTTGTTCCAGGAACATGTTCTTCTTGTGTAAATCATATTAAGAATGTGGCACCATCCTCATATGATGTGTGTCTCTACCGCAGCCAGCAGAGGGCAGTAGAGACACACTGCACAATTTATTCTCGAGTCAGTTAAATTCTTGGGGTCTGATTTATCCCACCACACAGCAGTGTGTGAGCAGTCTCTGTGGTAGCCATCAGCATGACAGATTGAGTTTAACTTCCCCACACATCAGGCTTGTCATTCCACCGGTCGATCTTCATGTGATTAGATACAGAGTGTTCTACAAGGTGCAATATTCACTGTCAAACCAGGCGTGAATCACTGAGTCAAAGTCTGTGTGAGCAGTCTCTGTGGTAGCCATCAGCATGACAGATTGAGTTTAACTTCCCCACACATCAGGCTTGTCGATCTTCATGTGATTAGATACAGAGTGTTCTACAAGGTGCAATATTCACTGTCAAACCAGGCGTGAATCACTGAGTCAAAGTAAAAAAATACAAGTATCTGCTGTGCATATAGCAGGTTTAGAAAGTGTGAGTGTGTAGTTTCCTCCACCTCATGTTGTGAAATTACAGCTCTGGCAGCTCTAAAACATGCATATGTTTTTATGCATAGTGACTGTAAAAATTGCTCCTTTAAACTACCAGTCAAAAATGTGGAATCATTTTGTAAAGTTTTTGAAAATCTCTTATGCTCACTAAGGCTGCACTTGATCAAAAATACTCAAATAGACAACAGTTATTTTAAATTGTAATAATATTTCACAAAATTACTGTTTTTACTGTATATTTGATCAAATAAATGTAGCCTTGGTGAGCATAAGAGACTTCATATGACATTAAAACAAATCTTAATTATTCAGAATTTTTGACTGTAATGTAATTGCAGTCTGAAATAAGTTTGGAACCCCAGTTAATAATATTTCACAAAATTACTGTTTTTACTGTATATTTGATCAAATAAATGTAGCCTTGGTGAGCATAAGAGACTTCATAAAACAAATCTTAATTATTCAGAATTTTTGACTGTAATGTAATTGCAGTCTGAAATAAGTTTGGAACCCCAGAAATGGCTCATTAAACTTTTCAGATGGACCAGAACAAAAAAATCCAATCGGATGTATTATCAAATGTATCACAATCACTTATGGTGCACACTTACTTGTACCAAAATCTAATCTCGACTGTGCCTCGGGGTGCAGCTTTAAATGGATTTGTGACTGAATCGCTTTGACAGATGTGTTAGATATTGGGGTGTTTGAAATACTCAATTCATTTTGCTGGCTTTTGTTGCACAGGTCTTCGGTCTGCTTCACACCACAAGCATATATTTATTTTAGGGCCCGTATTAACAGGTTACATTCTTCACACTGCCCACATAAACAGCACAGTGCTGTGTAGCTGGAAATATAGAGTTCTGTTATGCAGCAGAAGCACTGTGAAAGGTGGGCCTGCTGTAGCTCTGCTTATGTGTGGATTTAATGCATTTCAGATCTAGATGTGTACAGTATATGTACTGATATGTCTTGTGTGTTTAATGTAATGTGTTGATTTCTGTCGGTACCTGTTCTCTCCGCTCATACTGCTCTATGATGGTCTTGAGTTTGCTGGCCAGATCACTGTTCTCTTGGCATAGCTTGTTGTTGCGGTTACTGTGCTGCTCGATCTGATTCTGAATGTCCACCAGCGTGCTCTGGAAATGAGCGGTGATCTCCTTCCGCTTCATTTCATCCTCCCGCAGCCTTTGCAGACTCTCCTCCTGCAGGGAAAACGAGAGAAGGAAACGAGTGGGAAATCTGGGAATGTGCAGTCTTAAGTGATGAAAGCAATCTAGATCTAGTATTACGTGAGGGTGTGAGATGGAGCTGTGACTAGATGGTAAAGTCAAATAACGTATTGTATTTGATAGCATTCTGTAGAAGAAATGACAGTGATGGAAATTATATTTTAAACATGTGTTTGCATTTTATATAGCCTAAATACAAACAGTTATATAAAAGTTTGTATTTGACATCTGTATTGATCACAAGTGATATTCACCATGATTTGTTTTTGGTTGTTGCTTCATTCATAACTACATATTTCATCTTAGTCATGCTAACAGTGTTGTCACTATTTAAAAAACGTTTTGTTAATTAAAATAAATCTCAAATAATATAAATATTAGATGAAAAACCTAAACTTAAAAACACTTAAACGAAAATTAGAAATAAGCTAAACTAAGTTGAAGTACTAAAATGACTAAAACTAAAACATAAATATAAAATGCATTAAATTGAAATAAATATAAATATTAAGAACCAATATAAACATTAAATTTAAACCAATAGAAACCAATAAAAACATTATATTATATTTTTTATGAAAATACAAAATATGAATAAATACTATAATAGCATGGAAATAGCATTAAATAACTGGTTGATAAACATGCACATATTTTTTATTAAACTTTATTAGTGGCAAAATTATTTAATGTGGTGGAAATTACTGTAACTAATCTACATGTGTTACAAATTAATAAAAATGTACATTTCATTATTTATTGTGTGGAAATGATTGATAAATGCACAATGGTTTATGTTTTTCACTTATTTTTAGATTATGATCATTCTAAAAAATATATGATATTAAATATAATACTTTCATGATGGATTTTTGTATTTTCATATTAACACAGATTGGAAGTCTGTGTCTGGGATTATTTAACATAAAATATATAAAAAGGCATTTGAGAAGTAACAAAGTTTACAAGAGAGTTGTAATGCAACCTTCGTTTAAAAAAATGTAATGTATTATTTTCAGAGGCGGACAAAGTATTCAACTCCATTACTTGAGTGAAAGTACAGATACTGCTGGTCAAATATTACTCCATTACAAGTAAAAGTTGTAAAGACAGATTTTTACTTAAGTAAAAGTACAGAAGTACTTGCTTTTAAAAGTACTTAAGTATCAAAAGTAAATTTCCTTTTTTATGTCAATGCACTGTTTTATTGTTGTACGTAGTATTTGCAATACCTCTGAAGCAACTTACAATACATTACACCTACTGAATACACTGACTAGCTTGTAGTATCTTTGGAATAAAAAGCTTTTAGAATGTTAAAAACCCTAGTGGGAAAAACTAAAAAAGTCATAAGTTCCCAGAAAAAATAATACTCAAGTAAAGTACAGATACTCAAAAAGTGTACTTAAGTACAGTACTCAAGTAAATGTACTTAGTTACTGTCCGCCTCTGATTATTTTTAATAAAAGTAGTATGTCAGTAAGGAACAACCTTTTGGAAGGGGCTTTTATTTTATATAGTGAAAAGTGAAAGGAAGTTGAGAAGAGAGAGGGAATGGACATGTTATAGGCCAGACTTGAACCTGAGTGGCCCACTTGAGCACCATAGCTCAACATGTCCAAAGCAGGTGCACTAACCACTACTTTAACTACACTAAAGTAGGTGTGAGTGGTGAAGGCTATAAATTGACATATTAAGCTATATGAGATCTATATTTGTGGCACTAAATAAACAATATTATCCTTTTTTTAGTATCTGGGATTAGACGTGTGAATGTTAAACAGGCCTGCCATCCAATGTGTGCGCTTTGTAAACACGAGCTCTTGTTTCAGAAGCGCCAGCTTCCTGACTCAGCCATTCGTAAGGAATCCACACATGGAATGTTCCTCTCCAGGGTTGAATCTGTTTGCCTGCCCGTGTTTACACATGGCATGAGTCTCAAGCTCCCACCTGGGAAAGGTGAAGCTGTATTACCACTACGCAAGCTCATCAGGGAGGTGAATCACTCACATAAGCGCAAAGGAAATGACCCCAGATTAAATCTAATTTACGGTCCTCATAGCTGAGAGTCGCACATACACACAGGGCTTAGCTGTTCTGCTCTGACCCGCTCATTAATAGCTTCCATAATACTTGAATAAAATTGACTGGGGAGTGAACAAGGTCAAAGCCAGCCTCTAGGGAAGGATAGCATCAACTTCCAAAGGCATGCAGAGTTCATATTAGAGCAAGAGTTTAATATCTTCAATGCCCGGAGGAGAAAAAAACAACACAAACATGATTCGAAAGCTCCTCTGAGTCACCTTACAGACCACAAAAACAGAAAAAAAGTGTGTGTGTGTGTGTGGATGCTGGGACAGAAACCACTACCTTTTCTTATACAAAGTCCTCCAGCACCTTTTTCGTTGAATAGTACAAATGGACTGAAATCAGTTGCTGAACTGCAAAGAGAAAATGGCTCCAGGTGCTTTGCACTAGATTCATAACATCTTTCATATTATATACACATTCACCAAATGGAGGTGAAATTGTTTCTTGGAAGGCAACATAATTGTTTGGCAGAGTGAAAGAAATGAGTGGACAGCTATATCTGACAACTGGAAACATTTCAAGTGCTGAATAACAGTTTTGTAAAATATGGCATCTCAGTTGAGAGAGGCATTCACAAATTAAGTAGCAGTTTTTAATATTCAGAACCGTTTACATGAATCAAAAACATACAGCGCGACCAGTGAAGTCTGATTCCCAAGCTCTTATGAACCGGATCTTTTAAAGAATCAAACAAATACACATTCTCTTGTTAATGACTCTTATGAGTCTGTTCTTTTTATTGAATCAAACGCATAGCGTGAACGTGAATGGTGAAGGTAGTGATGGGAGAAACAAAGCTTTTTGAAACCCTGAATAATTTGCCCTTGCAAAATGATTCACTGTTTCGATGCTCTCAGAACACCACAGGATGGTGGCACCTGCTGGTCAAAATGGTGTAATTGCAATGAAAACTCATCCTGAATATGTACAGTATAATGACACCTTTTACAAATCACTTGTAAATGTTTTCACAAAGAGTATCTATTAAATAACCAAATAATTAAACACTATTAAATATGACGGTCTGTCAAATTTGTGTTATTTTATTTATGAATGTGTAATGCATATGTGTTATTGGGCAGGGCTTGGCAAACTAGGTAGCAATTAAATATTGTTCACCCTTTTGTATTATACACGCATATTAAAATACATTACATTTATTAAAAATGAACCTACATTATAAAACTGACCCAAGATCTGTTAAAACTATCACTCGTTCTTCGGTTCACACTCAAACAATATTAAATCTTTTTAAGGAGTTGCACTATTAAATCCATTATGCAGAATTCAGCAGATTTCACCTCAAAATTAGCACAGAAAATATAAAAAACTCAGCAGATTCTCTCTGAGATGTAGATGTAGTCACTGTAGCACCAACAGAATGGAAAAACAGGAGGCCATGGCCTCTGCAGTGATTTGAGCCAGTGAGACATTCTCTTTGACGTTTGATTTATAAAAGAAGGGCAAATGCCACTGAAGCTCAGTAACGCTATCCCTCTTGTCATAGTGACCTGTCAGCAGCGCTTTGAGACTGAGAAGTCAGTGTCTCATCGAGGCAGAGACACAGAGTCACTGCAGTAACGTCCCACTGGGCTCTAAGACGCTGTCTCCTCAGAAGGAAGTTGAGTCGACTCAATCTCAGCAATCAAAACACTGACACAGGTAACAGGAAAACAAGTCAGATGCTCAACACTCTCCCACATGTCAAACAAGTTACGGTCTGTTATTGTGGTCTTACTGTATCGATTTCAGATAAATGTACCCCTAAATGGCACATAAAAACAAAACATTGATAATTTTTACAAGTTCTTCTTTCTAAGTGGTTCTTGTCTCATATTAAGCAATATTTCAAGTAAGCATTTGACCTATAATACTCTTTTGTTTGTGTAGTGATAGAAAAATAGCAACATCCCCTATAAATACAGTATAATCTTATGCAAATATGAGACAATTGAAGTATTGAGTATTGAGTAAACTGGCCAATTGAGTATTATTATAAAGCAACTGAATAAAGAGTATTATTATTATTTTTGTAAATAATTTTAATATTAATAAAATTTGCTTTTGTGGTCAACTAATTTACCCAACAGAGCCTATATATAAAAAAACATACTAAAATATATAAAATCATTTTATTAAAAAAACCCTAAAGGTTTAAAGAGTATATTTAATTATGCAGCTGTGAATTTTTAATGAAAATATTTGTTGCAGTTTAGCATTTTTATTTGCGTTATCAGACTACTGTTCAAAAGATTGGGGTCAGTAATATTTTTTAATGTTTTTGAAAGAGGTCTCTTATGCTTTCAAAGTCTACATTAATTTGATTACAAATACAGTAAAAATAATACAATTGTGAAATATTATTCCAATTTTAATATATGTCATTTTTATACATGTAATTTACTCCAGTTTTAAGTGTCACTGAAATATGCTTATTTGGTGCTCATAAAACATTTATTATTATTTTCAATGTTAAAATTTTTTATATTTTTGTGGAAGCCATGATACTTTTTTTCAAGATTTTTTGATGAATAGAAATTTAAAAAGAACAGCTGGCCCCTTAACTGACCCCAAACATTTGAATGGCATAAGAAAATAGGCATAATTATTTTAAAAACAGAATGAATTCAGACAATTCAGAATTCAGATTTCTTTTCATAAATACATAAAAACATACACAAAAATAAACCTACCAAGATATACCATAGCTTGACTTTTCTTTCACAACTCAATTCTCTTAAAACTGTCAGCAGATCATGTTCTCACCTTCAGTGTCCTGTTATGTCTCTGAAGCTCCCTGCAGAGCATCTCCAGCTTGCTGCGGGCCAGAATGGCACGACTGTGCTCGAACTGAAGCTGATCTCTCTGCTTGCCCAGAAGACCCTGTCTCTGCTGAAGCTGCTCCAGCTGTTTCTTCTCAGTCCTGTGTTCCTCCACCTGCCCCATATGCACAAAACACACACATGTGTGATCCATACATCCTCTTATACACGGCTTTAACACCTCTGGCTGGTCTAAAGCTGCTTTAGATAATGTCTGTCTGGTTGTCCTCAAGAGGATTTTGGAATGACGGGCCCTTCGTTTACTTCTGAGAACAAGACCTGGTTTTGTCAAAACTGGGAGAATTACTCGTAGTCTTCCATCATATGTTCTTTTCTACGTGTCCCTGTCATTATCTTTGTGTTCTCAAATTGAAGAGAGTGTTGTGGCTTTCTTGTGTGGCATATGGCCTTGTGTTCAGACTTGCACGTTCAGCCCAGAGCATTGAATATTTAGGTCATCTCAGTATCAGTGAAACCACTCTTAACATCACACCAGGCGTTCTTTTATTTTCTCTCCGTGTCAATCCAGTTTGCGTTCTATTTGTTTCCTCTTAACTGTCCTCCATGCATTGTTGTTGTCGGCGGTGAAAACTGTTCAGAGAGCGGCGTTCTCTCATGGGTCTGGATACTCACCAACTCAGTGTATTTCTTCAACACCATTTCCACTTTCTCTTCTGGTGAGTCGAGCTTGTTCAGGCTTTGCAATAAGGATACGGCCTCTTTACCTACGAGACAAGCGTTTTCCGTTCAGATCAGAGAAAGAGAAGATAAAGAAGATGAGCGGAAGCCCACAAGGGAGAGTTCTGCATGCAAGCTTCAAAATAAATCAACGGGAGAAGTGGTGAAATCACAGCGTGATAGTGTTTACTACGATAAAATGGTTGAGAGAAGCAAACAAGGCACAAGAAAATTACAGGCCTCTCTCATCTTTTTAAGTGGGAGAACTTGCACAATTGGTGGCTGACTAAATACTTTTTTGCCCCACTGTATACTCGGCCTAAAGGGGATAGTTCATCCAAAAATGAAAACGCTGTCATTATTTATTCACTCTCTTGTCATTCCAAACCTTATGGTTGTCTTTTTTTCTATATACTGTAAATCTCAAAAAAAAAAAAAAAAAAAAAAAAAAATATATATATATACATACAAAAAACAAGCATAAAAAGCACTGTAGAAGTGGTTCATAACCTTTTTGTGCTATATTCCAAGTTTTTCAATATTGATAATAATAAGAAATGTTTTTTGAGCACCAAATGAACATATTAGAATGATTTCTGAAGGTTCACATGACAATGAAGACTGGATTATTGGCTGCTGAAAATTCAACTTTGTCATCACTGGAATTCTTTTTGAAATATATTTAAATAGAAAACAATAGTTATTTTAAATGACTTTTTTGCTGTATTTTTTGATTAACTTGATGTGGCACATTGTAATTTATTATTTATGTGGTTGTCAACCTTAAAATGGCACCTATTTCAAAGAATGGCCCATGTAATTTCTTGACCAATTATTGACTGATTTGGCAATACTAGGGGATGTTTTATGATGCTGAGCAAAATGAAAATTCTCTTTGTGAGGTTTAGACTTTTAGTTTGTCTGTTTAATCTCAAGACGTTTCCTCTGTTTATCAAGCGAACAGAAGAAAGGCAGATTGCTCACCCAGGCCCTTGAGGAGTTTCTTATCAGCTTTTTGCTCCTTCTCTGGACTGACACCAGCTTCTTGTGGGTCAGCCTCTTCATCAGCCTTTGCCTCCTCTTCCTTTATCTCCTCAGACTCCAGGATGGAGATCTGCTCCTGCATCAGGCTTGATGCCGCTCCATATGTGTTGATTATATCCTCTAGCTGCCGGCTGAAGTCCTCCATGGGGTCCACTGGCTGCTCCTCAGGGTCATTTACTTGTTCATTGGCGTTCTCAGAGGTCTGGTCACTGCCCTCCATCATATGCTGCAAAAGTTAAATATATCATAAAAGTGCTTCATAAGAAAGCAGATTGATTAGCAGAGGTAGAGCAGCCAGTTCCTTGATTACACTCTAGCTTGATGCTGAAATGAGATTGTTGAAATTAATGAGAAGTGATTATGCATTACTTGTAGAGAGGTTTGAAATGACTCCCTGAAATCACCAGCCACTAAAGTGAAGACGGATGGCTTTTGGCCAGTTTGTGGTATGTTTGCATAAATAGAGGGAATTTATGTTCGATATGCATGAGGTTGTTTGTAAGAAATGGGAATTTAAATTTGGGGAAATTAAAGAAAATTTTATTAATGTATTTGCCTTAGGCAGAAACAATACGGATAATAGAGAAGTGACCTTGAAAAATAAATAATTGCAGAAATGTAAAAATGGAAATAACTGAAGGGAAATGTAAAGTAATTTGTCTATACAATAACGATGGCCAATTTAATTAGTTATATCTATCTCTTTGTCTTGCTTAGATTTTTTACATGTACTGATATTTTGTTAATATTTCTAAATATGTTTATATATATATGTATGTGTGTGTGTGTGTGTTTATATTTATATTATGTATTATGCTCACCAAAGCTGCATTTATTTGATCAAAAATACAGTAAAAAGCCGCTTGTGACACAGAAGGCTAGAGGACGGGGTGTGGAGAAAATAGCACAAATCACAGTGGCAGAGTATCGCTGAGCCTCTAAATCTGATGTGTCACTGATAGCGCCAGGCCTGAAGCCCTTCAGCTCTACACAGCTGATTTCATGTGGAATGAACTCTGAGATTCCAGAGGTTGTTTATGTCCCAGCTCTGTTGCTTATCAGGTTAAAATTATAGCCCCCATTCCAAACCCCATGTGCATGCATCCACCCCTCCTCCTCACCCATCACTCCTCCTCCTTCAGCAACATGGCACCTGTTGTGAAGCCACACGCTATTTTTGGACCCTCTAAATATGGACAAGCTATTTCTTATTCTAACCACGTACACTCTGATGTCAATGGTAGCAGTTTTACACAAAGTGGAAAAAACTATAACTATTCTAAACATCAGTTTACATCTAAACAAGGCTAAGAGTGAAGCACATAAGCACATTGGTTTTGTCTTCATATTACTTAATCATAATAATGAAACCACACTATAATGACTGAAACAAAATGTACAGTCAAATAAATCCAACCAAAAGTTTCTCAAAGACAAACTGGTGACATTCAGCTCAACATCAACTATAGTTAAATAAAATAGGACAGCTCAAGACTTACCCTAAACGTGTCTGTTCGGGGTTGAATAGAAAAGGAGGACAATGAACCAGCCAGTCCACAGTTTTATCAGAGTGAAAGAGAGAGGTGAGGAGGGTCCAAAAGGACTCGAGACAACAGCTGACAGCATGAGCCCCTCAAAATAACCTCCACTGGAACACCAATGGAAGCGTTGTCCAAACACTCTGAAAGAATCGGCCTGTCAAGATCTTTCTACTCAGGCTTTTCAGGAAGACAGCTGAGGAGCTAATTTTGTAATATCCTTTGAAAGGCTTCAGACTTGTTATTATAGATAGTTATCTACTATACTTATTATTTTATTTATTTATTTTTTTTTTTTTTTAAAGCATGATATATTAAATGATTGTCAGATTTTTTTTAATGGAACAGTTTATTAAACCTTTAGACAAAATCTAAAAGAAAATCAAAATAAAGTTTCCATATGTGTTTTTTGTTAAGTATGATATAATGAGAATATGGAGCGCATACTTGAGGAGGAAAAAAATCTCAGAGGCCAAACTTGAGCAAAAATATGCAATTTGGTGCAGTTGCTAATATTAATATGGCCAAAAATGAATTAAATTCTGATAGCTTGCAATATAATCAATGAGATGATTATAACAGTATAGCAGACGGCTTACATAAAATGCATGTTAAATATCAGTTGTCAGGAGGTTGGAGGTTACTCTGAATCAGACGACAGAAGGCATGTAGTAGGTTGTGTACAACAGGTTTTACATCAAATTTTTGATCATTTTCATAATTTAGAACACTTAGAAATTTGCATATTAAATATGATACACTTGGCCTTATTGGGTTAACATGCAAATCTTAGCAGCCCTCACAGTTATTGACTTGTGAATGCCTAAGGACCAATTTCTTGTAACAATCTGCTTAGTATTGGGTTTTCACAGCTCCTATTAGCATTTATTATCACATTTGTCCACCATAATTCCAGTCAATTGCACTCTAATCACTTCAAATCATGCAAATGGAGAATTGTTAAGTGATTAGCATCTCCAGTGCGACTCACTCCATAACAGCGTTTTTTTTCTGCACATTTCTAAATATTAAACAATATTTGGCATGCCACTGTGAAACACGGCTACCCACCCATTCATCAAACAATATCATGGGGTCTTTAATGTATGACCTATGTAGTGCATTTTTACGCAATGATATTAGCAAATTTGGGCATCAGAATCATTACTTTGCTATTTGCAATAGCTCTTACTAAAAGCACAATGAGTCTAAACTGTTGGAGGGTCATGTTAAGAATTTGTAAAGAGTGGTGGGCGATAGTCTTTACCGCAGGTCGTCTCTCTGATAATCCTCACCCTCTTTGGCTTTTATTAGGGAATCTTTTTAATCACCAGATAGAAATGATTCTGACTTTGGCTACAGGCTTAATTATTTCTCTCAGCCCCTGCATCTCAATTAATGATTGTAATGTCCTTGTTCTTTGAAAGTGTCTTGCTTGGGTGTTTTGATAAATGTCTCTTTAACCTTGAATCGCATTTCGCCGCAACTGTCAGCATGTTACAGAGCTGGAGAGGCAAGGACTCGACCAATGTTTCTGGCCTTGTAGATTTTGCTGTCATAGGCACAGATGAGCTTGTAAGAATGAACGATATGTCTCAGAACTGCTCGTTTCCTGTTTTCCATGGCATAGGACTCTTTTGACAAAGTCACAACAGAATCTTGCTCCATTTTTTATTTATTTTTGGCTTGAGAGCTCCTCTAAATGAGCTGCTGACTCATGCAGTCAAATTAAGTAAGATGTCCATGTCTCCTCCTGCCTCGCTGTCCTTTCTCTCCAGGTGCTGTCAAAAGCACTCTGACCCTTGGACTGTGTTGCAGAGCCAGGAATGTCCACATATCCTGTGTATAATTTGCTCTGTCACACATTGTATTTAATGGTTGATAATGAGGCTTGCTATATTCTAAGCTTTCTGCCATTTGTCATTTTTAAATTGCAGATTTGTTGTTGAAGTTGATAGCAGATGGTAAAAAAATTCAAATGAGATGGTTATTTGAATCATATTTACTTTTCTAAACTGTCACAAAATATCTAAATATCTTTTAAATAAAGAGGAATTTACTTGAGAAGAAAAACTAAAACTGCATAGTATATTAAGACTTACAGCCTTTCGTTTTAATTGACCAACATTTAGTGAGGTTAATGTTTAAAAAAACAGCAACATCATATAAAAACCTGTAAACTTTTTCTGAAAAATATTTTTACAGGAAAACAAGACAAGAACACTCACTAATACATAGAAATTATATTGATTTAAATTAAAATAGTTTTATTTTTTACCTGTGTATTATTGTTTGACTTTTATAGAAAAAAACAAATCCGTTTTTTAAAAATATCAGAGAACTCTGATAGTGCAAATGAATCGTGAATACGCATTTTCAATGAAAAATGGAAGTGAAATACAGATTTCTCTGAGAAATGTGAATGTCTTATTTTTTTTTGCTTGCGTTTTATTCTCAGGGCAGAGACGGAGCAGCATTTGATGGGACGATGTGTCACACATGCATGTAGCATAAGCTAACAGAGAGAATTTCTCCTCAGGCTCTCAAAGAGACACAATCCAGCAGCTCTCCTGACATTGTATGTCACTGACTTGTTTGTAGGTTACAGTATCTCTGTGCAATGCAGGCTGGAGGAGGTGTCTGGATTCACAGTAACAGAGACTGGAAAGCACAGGGGGGCTCAGAGCTGACTGTTAGGAATGAGCACAACCAACATTCCCACAGTGAAGGCAATTATAACAGTCAACATCCCTCTGCGTTGACTTCATTGCAATTTGCACCCAGTCCTCTAAGAGCAAAGGAATGCGGTAATGTACAAAAAAACCATCTCGACATTTTATTAGTTATAAACAGAAGTTTAACATTTTATAAGGACTTGGAGTTTGAGTTTCATTTAAGTGTTATCAGTTAGTTTCGATGTTTGAATTAGCGTTTCAAGAGCGTTTAGCCTATTTTAGTAGCTACAGTTCAACAGCACTAGGACTTTTCACTCTTTGTATCGTTTCCGCGTTCCAGACCGACTGTCAGCCCAATACTACAATAGGTGGCGACAAGAGGCCGTTATTTTAAATCGTTCATTCAACTGATTCGTTCAAAGACGCTGATTTATTCTGAAACGCAACGGAAATTCTAATGTATCTTCATTTTTTTTGGATAGGCCTATATTTTCGTGTTAGCTGAGCAAAGAAGACAAAGTACTGTCAACCTTGCAAATATTGTGTCTAAAATGTAAGTTACTCAACTTTAATTTCTTGTTTATTGAATTGTTCTGTGAAAAAAAACAGTCGTGATCGCGCTGGATCGATCAATACGTCGATTCGTTCAAAAACTAATGAGTCATTGAATCATTCGTAGTTTTGATATTACTTAAAGCTGCAGTCCGTAACTTTTTTGTGTTCAAAATTTACAAAATGTATATAATAAGCGAGTACACCATGAATCCATTTTCCAAACCGTGTTTTTAGCTTGTCCTGAATCACTACGGTACATCTATAATAAGTGTTTATATTCTGACTATTTAGACTGGTTCGGGTAGGTACCGCTGAGTAGCCCAGTACCTGCGTGATTCGCCGTAGACATAAACAGAGAGAATTAGCTCCGGATACAATGTCCTTCCGCAAGACGCACGCAGTTCTGTTTATTAACCGCTAGAGCGAATTTTGACTCAGATGTTCCCCTAAAAACTTTTAGGAGAAAAACAAAAATGAAACAGTTGTTGACATAAGATCATCTTGAGCCAATTTTTAATGACAATGTTTTGGTTTGGTTTGGTCACAAACTTTGAGCGCAATGTGTGACAATTGTGAGTTCTCAAGACTAGATGGAGACAGATGTATTTTAAGCCAGTCTCAATTTGCTCTCACTGCTGACCAGGACAAAAAAAAAATCGTATCAAAGATATCTGTTTTGTGTTTTTTCTTTCATGTGTGATGTCAACTGGGTCTGCTGCGCTTCCCCTTTTCTCCTTTTCTTGATAATTTCACTAAAATTCTAACCCTATTCATTTTGCTGGCTCACAAGTACTATTTCCTTTAAGACAAGCAAATGGGAAAAAATAATCACTCTCCAACAAGAGTGCTTATCTAAGCAAGCAAAACGGAACAATTACACATCTCAGAGGAAGACATCAACAGCAGCAATGGCTATGAAGCTTTATTAAATGAAAAATACCTCTTTAGCCCCTAAAATGGTGTGATCACAGACTGACTCATAGCAGTGTCGTGTTAATGGATATGTTCATAGTGCCCAAGTAAGTATCCAATGCTCTTTCATGCAGTGCAGTGACAGCATCGGCAGAGCATTAAGCTGTAAAAACATGATGTTGTGAAACTCACCTCTGAGCAGCAGGGCAGAAACTCCACTGACAGACTGTTATAATGGATCTCACTTAGTATATTAAACAATGTCACAATCCAGATCAGTGTCATGTAGCGTTTGCCTGTTTACAGAATGTTCTTCACACTGATTTAGTGTCATGACTGTGTTAGCAGGATGATTGATATACCAAAAGAAAGATAGAAGTTATTATTCACACAGGAAATAATATTTTTAATATCAAGAGCAAAAGGTCAAAGTTTTGACATGTTACTAACATGGTCTAGTTACCCCCTGCTGGTAGATGTTGTAACTATACCATTTGGTTCTAAAAAACATCGGTTTCCATTTATGGCCATTTAAAAACAGCAGTGTGTTCTGATGAAACATTTTTTTTTTTGCCATTAAAATATATAACAGTAACCAATTAGCAAGTCTGCATTTATTTGATCGAAAATACAGTAAAACTGTAATATTGTGAAATATTATGATTTAAAATATAGAATATATATTCATAAGATGGCAAGGCTGAATTTTCAGCCTTCAGTGTCAAATGATCCTTCAGAAATCATTCTAAAATGTTGATTTGGTGCTCAAGAAACATCCATCAGTGTTGCAAACAGTAGCTTAATATTTTGGTGGAAACTCATGCATTTTTTTTAGAGTTCTTTGATGAATAGAAAGTTCAAAAGAACAACATTTATTTAGTAACATTATAAATGTAACATATATATAAATTATAATTTTTGATCAATTTAATGCATCCTTGCTGAATAAAAGTATTAATTTCTTCAAAAAAGGGAAAAGGTCTTTTTGCTGACCCCAAAC